CTTAGATGTCTGTTATTAATTGTTGTCATGGAAGATCTCCAGAACATCTTACATATTAGAAGACTGAAAGACAATAACATTGAATATATATATATATATATATGTTGAACAGAGAATATATTTAAAACAATTTGAATTTATTTTTAAAAACACATTCAGAAATCAAAGTTAGCAACCAAGAATCAATAAATGTCTGAATTCTTTTCATAAGATGGAGTTTAATAATAAAATATATATAAGAAATAATATAATTTGAAAGAACTCTCAATTTAAAAAAAAAAAAAAGAAATTCAAGACTAAACAAGAGTTAGCGCGGAAGGGATTGCACAAATTATTAACTTTATTCCTTTTGATGTGTGATATCTTTTTTATTAAGAGAAATTTTGAACGTTTCAACTCTCTTTAGAGTCCTCAGAAAATCAATTGTACATCCTAAATCGAAATTAGTTTAAGTATCAGTTAAAATTAAATCACTCGCAAATTGCTAAAACTTAAGTGAATTCTTATTTAAAATATTATAATAAGATTGAAAACAAGACTTAGTTTATATTACAAACATTACTTTAAATATACTTTAAATATGAAGCGCCACTACGGTCTGAAGATGTTGAATTATTATATATTTTCATAGTCTGTTATATAATCTGTTAAGATATTGAACTATTATATATATTCATATAAATGAATTAATTTCAGAAATGATAATTTGATTAGATTGCGATATCATGCCGATTTGTCGGACTTTCAATGCAATCAATCTGAAATATTAATAATCCTCCCAAATTTCTCAAATTAATCTTAAAAAACTGTAATAAATCTCGGCATTATCCGAGGCAATATTTTTCGCAATAAGTTTATTGGCACGCAATTATCATTTCTGAAATTAATTCATATTCAATTTATATGAATATATATATAAAATAGTTCAACAGTTCTTAATATTCAGACCGTAGCGCTTCATATTTAAAGTAAGTTTGAAATATTAATTATGATCAATTTAAAAATTATCTTAAAACACAACAAGCAACTCACCTCAACGAATCATAAACGTGTTATAAAGCTTTGGAATGATGTTAAAATTCGATGTACAACTTAATTTTAGTAAATATGTTGAAAGTAAACTGTCTAAATAACTCGTCTGTATAACCCGATGTATCAAGCGCATCTAACGCGTAATTTAAAATTATGAAGATCGAATGGAACTACAATCGCTTTGACCTTCGACAATTTTAAATTATTCGTCGACAATTTTAAATTATTCGTCGACAATTTTAAATTAGTCGCGCTCGATACATCGGATCAAACGTACAAATGATGTTTAGAATCTATTTCAATTTTGGCAATCTATGAATGATTTAATTTTGATTAACTGTTAAATTAATTTCGATTAAGAATGTACGACTGATTTACTGATGAGAGCTTCAAAGAGAATTGAAACGTTCAAAATTTCTGAATAAAGAAGGCATACATCAAATAGAATAAAATTAATCATTCAATTTAATAATCTGTGTAACTCCTGCTGATTCATTAGCCTTGAACTTCTTTGTTGTATTAATAAAACATATG